AAATTAGACATTATTGTTATAATTTGTATAATATTATCATTTAAAATTAAGAAAATTATCATTTTTAAAAATTAAACAACTTAGTGTTCGTTTTTCTTATTAATGAAATGGTGTCCTTCCAAAAGTTCATTATACCGACATTATAACACTTATATTCAAAATAGAAAAAAGAGAAAGTCAGACGTTCACTTAAACTCAAAAAAAATATGCAAATTTTATTCATTCAAAAAAAAAAATAAATTTTTGTGCTTCTATATACCTTGATAATTTACATAATGTAAAACTTAAAATTATACTTAAAATCGCTTATCTTAATTTGTTTTTTTTTTTTTTGCGAAAGGTAAAAAAAGGTGAAAATACTGAAAAATAATAATCAAGCCTTGTAAAATACATTCAAAATTTCGAATAGAATGAATGTTAATATAACAGAATGTAGTATATAACAAAACATGGTATAGATTGCTTTAGTTTATATAACAAGAACTCACACGTAAAAATTCCAACGATGGGAACATAGAAATTGTGTAAGTGATAAGTCTAAGCTACTGATAGTTGATATAAAAAAAACTGTTATACGAGTACAAATTATGTTCATATATACACAAGTTTTTTGCTAATTTATTTTTAAAACTTGGTGTTCACCTTATATAGAATTATCCAAGCAATTTCTCATATTTTATAATATACACGAAAAATTTACCAAATTCTGGAAACTACAACAAAAACAAATTAATATATTTCTGGCTTCTGTACTCCTATATTTTTACTAAACTAAAACTCAAATTTTGTGCATATTTAATGCAAATTTATTTGTATATAATAGAGCCAAACATAACAACCAAAGAAAAAATATCAAACGAAAATAAATTAACTAAACACCCACATCCAGAAAAAAAAAAATCTAAAGTAAAAATTTATCTACTTATTGCCATTATTTTCACTCTTTTAATTCTTTTGATATCGTGTATTTCATCCATATGAAAAGAAAAAATTAAATTCTACCCGAAAATAAACCAAATATAAACAAAATTAATAGAGAAAAGAGGAAAATAGGAAAAGCATAGAAAAAAGGACTATATATGAATATCCTTGCGGCGAATATTTCATATAGACTATTTGTCTGTTTTAGTATATATGATATGATCTACATAAAAATACTTATATTCCCGCATATATAATTAGTGCCTACTTTACATTATATTTCCCCCTACCACACATTTTTTTTCCTATTTCCTATTCCTTGTTTTTTTCCTCCAACCACATGGAAAAAATAAAAAAATTTTGACTTTTTTCTTTCCTTATTTACTCAATTTTTGAATCCTTTTCTTAATTTTTTTTTTTTTATTTATTTCATGATATACACAACTATTTTTAGTATTTTACAAAAATTTAAAGATATAGATATGTAGGCATCATATATGTACATATATATTTTAATATGGGGAGACCAAAGAAAATAAATTTAATTCATATAATGTACTTGTAACGCAATACACATTCAGACATATAGAAAATTTTTTTAAGAGAAAAATATTCCAACACACAATAAAAATAAAATATAAAATTGTAAATTAAGGGACAAATAGAATAATATGTTACAAGTATGTTCATATAACAATAAATTTGATCTTTTGCTTGTGGTTTTCTTTAAAAAAAAAAAAAGCAAAAATTTAAATATTTAGAATATACCCAAAACTAGAAAAAATATTCAAATAAAAAATTTAACATTCATTCTTTCAAAAATTATATTTAACAATAGGGTTATACTCTTTGTTATACCTATGTATGTAGGCATGTATATACAACTTACCATACTAATATAAATGCTATGCTGTACAAGAGAATTGATATGAAAATGAGCCTAAAAGATTTCTCTGAAAAAAAATGAGAAAGAATATTTCTCTGAAATTGTACAAAACTGAATCGGTGAACGGCAATTGCGAACCGGTTTTTATTATAAATCTAGAACAACAGGGGAACAGCAAAAACGATAACTGTTCAGTCACATACACATGCAAAAAGATTATACCGAAAAGCACCGCAACATTCTCATCTTAATTTTCTCGTTCTCACACCGAGAGAGAAAGAGAGAGAGAAAAAACCTTCACTAATAATTGAGAGAATGACAGTTTTATACAAAATTCATACAAGCTTCAGCAGGTCACGATAACCAACGGTCCAGTCAATCTAGAGTTTTAGTGAAATTTAATTTTCCTTGAAATTAAAAAAATCTATGACAGTGTTTCTTCACTTATCCTGTTTACACCAACAGCAAAACGTGCTCTATCTAATCATAAAAACAAAACAATAAAAAAAATTAAAACTATTTAAATGTTACCTGCTACCTTAATTTATTTTAGCATTTAAATAAAATTTTGTAAACATGGCATATGTACATATGTATGTATATGTGTTATATATAAGTATAAATCGTTTTAAGGGTTGTTTAAACGCCCTAAGTTTGCATTTAAATTTTCTTATTTTCTATGATTTTTTTTTTTGTCTTTTGTCTTGTTTTTTCGAATTTCTTTCTTTCACCCTATATTATTTTTTTTTAGCATGCTTTAGAATAACTCTTAATATTTAGAAAAACTCAAATGCATAAACACATGCACTTAAATGTATCTATTGGAGCTGATTGTAGAGAAATAAAGTGTAATTTGTCACTAATTTCAAATATTTAAAAATGTAGAAGATAGTTTAAGAAAAAAATTATCACATGGATGATATCTTACCGATAATAATGTCAAAAGGAAAAGATTAGACGATAGTGCTCATAGGGTTTTCACAAGAGTGACCCCATTCTCGGAATAGCCATCTCGAACATCTATCTCTCACGGTATAACTTCGACTGAGAATATTGGTAAATCTAACTTTAAGTGCTATATTGAGATCATGATTGGTAAGAACTTTTTTATATTTAAAGTACATCGCTCTGGCAATTTCAATTCTACACCTTATCTCACCTAAAGTGTTTCAATTTTCATTAAGCCAACATCCGAGGTATTTAAACTTAGTTACTCTTTCTAATGTTTTATTGTCTATAGAAAGGCTCGTATTGTTCAAGATGTTTTTTCTGTTTACAACCATATATTTAGTATTATCAATGTTAATATGAAAACCAAACTGTTTGCTGTGGTGGTTACATTTGTTTAAAAAAGTTTGTTAAACAAAATCTTCGATTCTGCCTGCTATTAATGTGGAACCATCTACGTATCTGATGTTAATAATGTTGATACCGTTAACTTTGATATCCTCTTCCACGTCACTTGTTTCTTCGTTGAATATATTCTCTGAGTAGACATTGAAAGGTAGAGGTGAAAGAATACAGCCTTATATTAATTACTAATTTTAAATTATGTTGTAGTGGCCGTGAACATAATTTAAATTGCATCGAATTTCCCATTGGTTGCATTATCCATTTTACTTTAGAAATAATCTCAGAATGTTCAACTGGACTACTAATTTTGATTATTGATGTTTTGAATAATTCAATAATTTCAAGTCTTTCAATACGAGTATAACATCCAAAAAATTTACTTCCATTTTCTTTCTGCTCCTAAACTATCTGCCTCCTTAACACTATCATTATTCATTTTTATTTGTCTAATTTTTAGCACTTTTCAAAAAATTTTTTGAAAAAAAGTGCTTATTAGTTTCACTCTGTCCGTCCGTCCGTCCGTCCGTCCGTCCGTCCGTCCGTCCGTCCGTCTGTCCGTCCGTCCGTCCGTCCGTCCGTCCGTCCGTCCGTCCGTCCGTCCGTGTGTCTGTTTACAAAACTTCTACACCCTTGAAGATAGAAAGCTGAAATTTTGTACGTACATAGATCTTTACTAGAACCTTATTTCTGTAGAACAAAATTTTTACCTATCTCCCCCCCTCTAGAAGTTATACCCCCCCAAAACCCTAAAAATGACGTTTTTCAACTACTTGTTGCAATGAAACCATAAGGATTTTTGAAATTTTGCAAACGCAGAAAGGCAGCGGCTTGCTTTCCCTACCGCAGTATACTATAGTTAAACTTTAGAAAAACAAAATGGCCGTTCAAATTTACCGTTATCTAAAGTCCTTTTTTTCCAAATTTTTGATGTCGTTTTTCTTCCAAACCCCAGCCTGTAGAAGCTTGAAATTTTAGGAGCTTTTAGACATTAACAAATAGTTCATTTCGTTAGAAGAAAATTTTTTTCCATCTCCACCCCCTCTCAAGTTATCGCCTCTTGAAATTCGTAAAATTTGAATTTTTGACACCTTATATTTCCGAAACCGCAAGTTTTTTAAAATTTTTATAAACGCAAAAAGCTAACGGTAAATTCCATGAAATTAAAAAATATATTTATTTTTCTTAACTCACACAATTAAACCTTAAAATCGAGCATTATGTTAACCCCTTTTTATATTAATTTTCGCTTTATTTCAAAGACTGCACATATGCGTCATCCTAAATATATGCAATCCTAGAAATAGTTTTGTATATGAATGAAAATAATTTTAATAGTGTGGTAGGTACACATAGATTGTATTCAAAAGCAGAATTTTCACTTGTTGAAGGGAAAAGTGCTACAATACAAACCATTGGTTTGACCCAACTTTATAATATCAATTTTTGAAATTATACAATGAAAAAATATTTCATCAAGAAGGATATTAACCTCTAATACCGTTGTAATAAAATTGAAAAGACTATTATTAAAACCAAAGAGAAAAATAATTATAAAATTTTCCAACATAAATTTTTTTTTATCTGAAAAATTTTCTATTGTCTACATTACTGGTTAAATAAGAATCAAAATAATAAATTTATTATGTAGATAGGTACCTACCTACCTACACCTATACATAAATGTAAAAAGGACACGATTGTAACACTAACGCTTTTAAAAATATTCACCTTTATCATTTTGATTTTTATTTTATTTTTATATGCTCGCAAATATTTTATCATCTCTTGTATAATTTTCATTTTAAATTAATTAAATTCCATTCTTTTATTATCTTTATAGGTTTATCCAAATCGTGACATCACAAATATTGTTGAATCATCCCATTATCAAAAAATTGGTGGATGGTGTAGACAAGGTGCTGTAAATGCAGCCAAATGTAAAGGTGCACATCGTTGGATTAAACCATTTAGATGTCTGGGTAAGATTTCTATTTAATTAGTTTAATTCAAAAAAAGAAAGCAAATAACAATGAAATGGACAATATTGGACTAAATGTTATGTTCATTTAGATTTTTTTTTTGTGAATCACGCAAATACAAGGGTTATGTGTGTATTATGAGTATCGATTTTGCATTTATCGTAAGTACAAGTATAAAATCGATAGTAGCTATATCAAGCCGAATACCAGAAAAATTCATATTTCAAATTTTGCTATTTATAATTTTCCTGAATTCTCATTTAATATTTCTTATGTATGTATATAATATATACATAGGTGTACATCTATGTGAGCTTCATACGAACATAAATTTAAGATTCATGCGTACATAAATAGGTGCATGAACTTGAATCATTTTCAAAACATTGAATTTGTTTTTGCATTTTCTTTAGACAAGCCTATGTTAAATAATTAATTGAAATTTTTCATAGACCTGCTCTTGTATATATGATTGTGTAAAATGCTATACTTTTGAACAAATTTTGTTAATGTTAATGGAAATATTTGAGAATAAATTGAAAATTATAGTGTGACTTTCAAGTTCAAAACTTATCAATTCATTAGTTATATGCTTTATAATTACTTGATGCTTTATTAGTTTTTATATTTATATTATATATTTTTTCTGTATTGTGATTCTTATAATTCGGTAAATCTAATCTTATAATAAAGGGTTGTGGAAAAATATGATATCAATTCGTCAATTTACAAAATAGACTCTGATATTCGGTACAGCCGCCTCTCAGATATCTGAGTAACGCGATTGTTTTACGCTTCTCCAACACACAAGAGTGCATTCTCTTTCTCTTTTTAATTTAGTTGGTGAGTGCTAACAACACCCTTTTTACTATAATTCATAATTCAGGCACTATATATCAGGCGTCAACTATGTTTGGTTATAGACAAAAACTTCATATTTCCATATATGTATAAGAAATTTATTAATTAAAATTATCCTATTTAATTTAATTTGCAGAAGGACCTTTCCAATCGGACGCACTTTTAGTACCAGAAGGATGTCTTTTCGATCATATTCATAATGCGTCACGATGCTGGCCATTCGTAAGATGGAATCAAACTGGAGCTGCTGCATGTCAAGAACGTGGAATGCAAATGAGAAGTTTTGCAATGCTTTTACCATGTGGTATTTCTTTGTTCTCTGGTGTTGAATTTGTTTGCTGTCCAAAACATTTTAAAGGTATTTTAATAACTATATATTTATGATAAGTCGCATTTTAATCTATTCTTTATAATATTATAGAAACCGTCCGTGTTAAGAAAACTGATTTACCAGTCATTGTTCCTGAAGAAGTGATTCCATCAGTTGATGAAGATGCATCTGATGATTCACAAGATGATGACGATGAAGATGCTATGGATAATGAAGATAGTATGTTAGCTGATGAAGCATCCAATAATGATGATGAAGAAGCCGAAGAGGAAGAAGATGGTGATTATGATTCAAGTGAAGATTTTGAAAGTGAAAATACTGGTGATGAACAAAATGATAGTTGGGATACAATAAGTACACAAAAGGGTGCGGGACCATTAAGTGGAACAACAAGTACAACGACATCTAGTTCAATTATTGTTACTAATTCTCAAACAAAAACAAATGATAATAATGGTTCCGGTAATACACAAAATTCAAATAATTCAGGCAATAATAATAATATTGCTCCAGTGGCCCAAGCACAAGCACAGTCAACTTCAACAAGTCAACCAACTGTTGACCCATATTTTACACACTTCGATCCAAGATTGGAACATCAGAGCTACAAAGTAAGTCGCAAAGTAAGTTAGATTAGTTTGGAATGTTTAAAATTAAAAAGAAAAAGTTTTTAATTAAGGAGGCACAACAGCGCATTGAAGAAACACACCGTGAAAAAGTCACCAAGGTTATGAAGGATTGGTCCGATTTGGAAGAAAAATATCAGGATATGAGATTGGCTGATCCCAAAGCTGCTGCAACATTTAAACAAAGAATGACTGCTCGATTCCAGGTAATTACATAAGTAAAAAATATCCGTCTCGGGTAAGTTAAAAGGAATTATTTTACATATTTAAATTTTTTCTCAAATTTTTTATTCTCTTTTATGAATTTTTAATAGCACACATTTGCAATTATAATACTTAATTTACAGGCTTTGATTTATATTTTTGCTATCTAGTAACTGTAGACAATTCAATTTAATATTGAATTTTTGGTTGTAGCGTTTCCTTAACCTCAACTATTTTTCCAATTGCTTAAGTTACAAAATTTTAATTTTAGACTTCTGTTCAGGCACTCGAAGAAGAAGGCAATGCAGAAAAACACCAATTAGCTGCTATGCATCAACAGCGTGTTTTGGCACATATTAATCAAAGAAAACGTGAAGCAATGACTTGTTATACACAAGCTTTAACAGAACAACCACCAAATGTAAAATAAATACTGAATTTCAATAAATTTTTTAACTAAATAATTATTTCTATTAAAAATGTTTTAGGCACATCGAGTTGAAAAATGTTTACAAAAATTATTAAGAGCTTTACATAAGGATCGAGCTCATGCTTTAGCTCATTATCGTCATCTTTTGAATTCTGGCGGTTCAGGTGGTTTAGATGCAGCAGCATCAGAACGTCCAAGAACACTAGAACGTTTAATTGATATTGATCGTGCCGTTAACCAATCAATGACTATGTTAAAACGTTATCCTGATCTTTCAGCTAAAATTTCACAATTAATGAATGATTATATTCAAGCTTTACGTAGTAAAGATGATATTCCCGGATCTATGTTAGGAATGAGTGAAGAAGCTGAGGCACAAATTTTAGATAAATATCGTATTGAAATTGAACGTAAAGTTAGCGAAAAAGAAAGACAACGTTTAGCTGAAAAACAACGTAAAGAACAAAGAGCAGCTGAAAGAGAAAAATTACGTGAAGAAAAATTGCGAATGGAAGCAAAAAAATTAGATGCTTTAGTTAAAGAAGAACAAGAAAAAGAAAAGGAAAAAGAACAAAGAGAGAAAGATGTTGAAGCTGCTGTTATTGGTAAAAATGCTGAAACTGAAGCTAATGTTAAAGAAGCACAAACAAGTGAAATTACAACAAGGTAAGTTTTCATTATCATAATTAATATATAATAATTTGTTTAATAACACAATCAAAAAATACTAAATTAAAATTTTTAGTGCTAAACCAACTGAATCTGTCCAACCAACAGTAATTAATGAAGATATTCAAGGTAATTTTGAAGATTCTGTTGCAGCAATTGCCCATAAAGTAGCTGAACCAAAAGTTCAACATGCACAAGCACATGATTTTGGTCATGGAGAACCGGTAATTAATATTTTATATTTAAATATATTTTGAATAATCAAAGCAATTCTAATTTTTCTTTTTAGAACTTTGCGATGCGTCATGAAATCTTTAATACATCAAATCGAGAAGGTAGAAATGTCTACTTTACTTTAGCATTTGCAGGTGTAGCGCTTATGGCAGCAGTATTTGTTGGTATTGCCGTTGCAAAATGGAGAACAGCTCGCTCCCCTCATTCACAAGGTTTTATTGAAGTTGACCAGGTACTCGCCAATTTTTAACTAATTTAAATATTTTCATAATATTTTTAATGCTTAAAATTTTTTATTATCTAATAAATTTATTAAAATTTATGAATTTATTTCAATTATACTAAAAATTTTTATTATTTTAGACCGCATGCAATATGCCAGTTACACCAGAGGAACGACACGTAGCGAATATGCAAATAAATGGTTATGAAAATCCAACTTATAAATATTTCGAAGTGAAAGAATAAGCTATATATGAATATATTAAATACAATAAATTAAAAACATTATAATAAAAAATAAAAATATTAATAATAAAATTAATAAATTAAAAAAAAAAAAACGTAACACTCAATAATTATTTAATTTTTTTAAAATGAAGAAGATTTGTGTATAAAAAAAAATGAAATGAAAAAATTTAATATTAATAATAAATAAAGTAATATAATATTTAAAATTAAAAAAACAAATAACATAAAAGAAAAACAAAAATTCAAAAATCAGAATTTTCAATTCCTGTTATCCTGAAAACTTTAGGAATAATTAAAAAAAAAAAAGCAAAATAAAAATAATAACAAGTATTAAAATCTACCTGTGAAACTGACATTAAAAACATATATATATATATATATAAATATATAAAAATAATTATATAATTGCTTAAAAATTAATATTAGTTCCATTTTATTACCATTTATTTTTAATTAAAGTTTTCGTTTTAAAAACCTTTTTCTTCTATATTAATTTTTATTAATTTATTTATTTTCATTTTGTTCTTTATTCAATATAATTTTTTGCTATACGCACTAAAATACAATATATTAATTATGATAATTAAGTATATTAAAACAATAATAAAAAAAAAAACAAAAAACAATTTATTTAATATAACAAATTCAAAAAAAAAAAAATAATAAAATTTATATTAATACGCTTCAACTAATATATAGGTACACACAATACATATACACCTAATTCGTTGATATTTATGTATTTATATATATAAAAAAAAATATAAATTATTTTCGTATAACAGAATTTTTTTATGGAAAACAAAAAATATACCATTTCATTCTTTTAAATAATAATTGAAAAATATATAAAAAAAAAATAAAAATAAATGTAGCTTAACTATTATACCACTATATAATGTATTCTTATACAAACTGTTATACATATACATATGTAGAAATACGTACTTTGGTATATATAGAATTAGAGAGATCAAATATAAAACTTTTTTAAAGCTTTTTAAAACTTTATATAAATAATATTCTTTTGTCATTTCTAAATAACTGTTATAACTGTTCTTTTCATAGTTATATTTCCTTTTATGTTTTCTTTATATCATAAGCGATTAACGCAAAATATGACAATATAAAAACAAAATGCAACAACATCATTAAAAACATTCCATAAAAAATTGTTTTCTGTTATACGAAATTATAATATAACAATTATAATTGTTATTGTAATAATTTATAATTATAAAAATATATAGAATAATAAAATATAAAAAAATATTTTGAATTATATAATTTTTAAATACAGAAAATAATAATATAAGAAGTGTACTGAATTCGATAATAAATATAAAATGTAATTAATATATAATTTATATAATTATTAATTAATTTTATTTAATTTATAATAAATAAAAAAAACATTATTCTAATATTTTATGTATTATTCTTTTTCATTTTATATTGCAAAATTTCAAAATTGTTTTACTACTACTGTTGTATAACAGTTTTTGAAATTTTTGAAATGTATTGTTATACTACTATATTCTTGATAAATAATTAAATACAATTATTATAAATTTATATTATTTTTAATATTATACTTATATAATCACAAATAATAATAATATAGTATAGAAAATAAAATTACACCAATTTTTTTTGTTTTTCCTCTCAATTATGTAGTATAATATATATAATTATAAAATATAAGTTATGAATTTGCTTTATATGTAATTCAATTATTTATGTACATTCGATATAATATGATAATAATGAAAATAGAAAACATTGTATAAAACATCCTTTTGAACACAATAATATTATATAAGATATTATAGCAAATATGTATATATATATATATATATATATATTTTATATAAGGCTTGCTGTGAATGAAAATATTAAAATATTATTTAATTACATATAAAAGTAATTAATTTATATATATTCATAATGATATTATGAATATAAATAAAAAAAATATTTAAATTTGAATGGAAATTAAAAAATAATAACAATATAAGATTCTGTTTCTGTATATTACTGATGATGATGATCTCATGTACATAATTTAAATAAGTAATTTTAAATATAATTTAAAAAATATTTTCCTCCATTTCTTGTATTTTCGATTTGAATTGTAAAACAAGCACATTTCGTGCATATTCTATATTCTTTGAAACTGAAACAGTTTTGTGGAATAAATTCAGTAATAAGGAATAAATTCTTTCGTGTATAAATATATACATAAATTTCCATATACATAATTATATTAATAATTATCATTACTAATTAAAATTATTCAAATTGTAAAAGTAAATTTAAATAACAGAATCAAAAATATAAAGTAAATTTGGCCCACAAATTCACAAAAATTATGTACAAAAATTTTTTCTCAAAATTAATTCTGATAAAATTAATGGTTTCATAAGCTTTTTTTGATTTTATAATGTATCACAGTTTTAAATTTATATAAAATATTAATGAACATTTAACCTTAATAATAACAAAATTAATCATTTCATTGATCAATTTATACAAATTGAACTAAAATTTTCATTTACTTCGGGATTCGGATTCCAAAATTTAACTCAAATTATAGTTGAAATTCCATAGTAAAGAATATCTTTGTTAATGGATGAAAGAGTTTTAATTATATCTAATATACCAAAAAGAATTGAAACAGAATTTATAAATTGTTTATTTATTATATTAAAATATTATAATATATAATAAATAAACAAATAAATGAAAAAAACGCAGTATGTTTTTTTTTTTAATTTTTATAAAATATTAAAATATATTAATAATTTTTTAATTTTGTTAACTTTATAGCAATTACCTTTCAAATATTAAAACAGAGATTCTCTATATATATAAAAATACCAAAAACAATTTATAGAAAATTTTCATTAAATTCACAAACACATCATTATTATAGCTACTGAAAAAAGCAAAAAATAAAAAAAAAATTTTAATATTATATACTTTTTATAATAGTTGAATAATATATTATATAAATACATAAATACGTATACTGCATATATATATATATATATATATATCCATATATACATGAATTAAAAGTTAGGAACACTATATTATTATGTAATTAATGTATTTAGATTTATATATAAATATATATTATATATATTTATATATAAATTTACATATATAACAACTCATTACACAATTTAATATATGTAATTACCAATATTGATTAAAAAATTATAAATATATGTGTGATATATATGATATATATATATGATATATATGATATATATGATATATATCATATATATATCATATATATGGTATATATATCATATATATGGTATATATGTAATATATATGTGATATATATGTATATCATACATATCATATGATATATATGATATACATATATATGATCATATATATATATGATATATATATATATATATATATCATATATATCATATATATATATATATATATGTATATATTTTTTTTTATTAATTTAATTTTTTCCAACACCATTTTTACATAACACTACTATTTATATACATATACATATATATATATATATATATATATATATACATAATATTAATAATAAAATAAAAAAAATATTTAAATACACAGAAAAATATTTTATACCAATAAAAAAATCTTATATATAACCCTATATATTTAAAAAAAATATATAAATGTAAGCTTATATATATAAATATATATATAAATCTACATATAATAAAATAAAAAAAATAATTAAGTGTAATATATAAACAGTCCAGAAAATTAATATTAAAATAATTAATATTAAAAGAAATGCTTAGAATTCAAAAATATAAAAAAAAAGAAAAAAATTTATAAAGTAATTAATAGCAAAATTTAATATGAATTTAATATAGAAAAAAAAACAAAAACAAAAAAAAAACCTAAATTAATAAAAAGACAAACATTTATTATGTAAAATTGTAATAAAAAATAAATAAAAAGAAAAACGTAGTAAACTATTAAGAGTAAAAATAACAAGAACTTTATAATAAACAAAAAATAATAAAAAAAAATGAATTACAACTACAACAACTCATTACACAACTTATTAAATATAATTACCAATATTGATTAAAAAATTCAAAATAAACAAAAAAAAAAAAATATATCGAAAATATTTTTTTGTATTTAATCCTTTAACAAGAACAAAAAAAAACCAAAAAATAAATGAAATTGCGTGAAAAGCTTCTATATTTATTCCTTATATATATTCTCATTAATTCATATTACACAAATATATATATTACAGTTATTAATATATATGTATATATATTTATATTATATACATATATATACAACATAATAATGTATATTATATAAAATTTTATTTTTTCAAAAACAAAAAAAAATGAAACAATTTTTGCAAAAAATTTATTACCAAATTAGTAACAAAACAAGAAAAAAAACCCAAAAACCAAAATATTCGTTTCAGATAATTATAATAAATTAATAAATAAATTAATAAATATGTAGATAGGTAACCCTCTTATAATTCGGTACATCTATATCGCGGTTTCAACATAACGCGGTTCTCAAAACGCGCAAAATTTGCGGTATATGACGCGGTATTCCCGCATGTTTTATAAAATATTCGAAAAAAACTAAAAGAAAACTTTATTTTGTATAAAATGTTTGTATAACAAATTGTGAAACTTTTATTGTGAAGTACACACAATTTTGTATGTACTTTAATATTACAAGGAAAATTGGCTATCTTCAGGCGTATTATCTCTTTTATAGCATATAACTACAGAATTTAATTGAGGACATAACTATCAGGTTATTTTTTTTCAAATATTTACACAAACATTTTCATATAAAACGAAAAGAATTTTTTCCGCAAAATTAAATTTTCAAAGAGTTTTTCGGAAATCCAATATATTCTGCCGACATATAAATTGTAAAAAAGTCTCGTCAGACTTTTTATAAATATAAATTTTATTTAAAGATTTTCCGTAAAATGAATTATAATGAAATTAATAATTAGCAAAATATACTCTGATTTTTGTATACGGAGTTAAAGTTAGTTTTCTAGTTAACTCTGAATTTTTCAGGAATCTATATTGACCGCATTATGCAAGAGTTTGTTACCTATATAATTAATTAACTTATTAATTTAATAAATATTATTATTACTATTATGTATCCATTATAATTAATTATT